TCGGCGTCTGGTTTTTCTTCTTCGACGAGGCACTGGCGGCTAGGGTTTTTGTGGTCAGGTATGAGTAGGGTTATTTATACCCTTTGCCTTTTAATCACAGCCGTCCAGTCCATCAAGATTAAATCTGGACCGTTCGATCGCGATTTAATTAGAATTAAATCTGGGCCGTCCGTGCCTGATTGAATCTGGGCCGTCCGTGTGCGTGAATCTGGGCCGTCCATGCGCGCGGGAACGGATCTGGGCCGTCTGATCACGCGCTCGCGGATCGCTCACGTGGCTCGTTCCCTGGTCAGCGTTGCCTTGCCACGCGGCGGGTCCGGGTTGGCCGGGGCTGCTGACCGGGCCGCTGACGTGACTGCTGAGGTGGGTGCTAATATGGCACAATTTTTCTAAATTACGTTTTGATCCCCAGTTTCTGATTTTCTTTTCAAAAACACCTCATAATCCAAATTTTCACCATTTTTTCCCAAAATCAATTTCAATTAAATTCAAATAATATTTTAACCCAATTTTATCATTATTATTATTTTTATTTTTATTAAATTAAATAAAAAATTAAATAAATAAAAAATAAAAATAATAAAATAAAATTTCATTTTACTTGGGTGTTACATTGAATATATTTCTTTCTCTATTTTTTACGTATTTACTAAAAAAAAAAAAAAAATTAGTCAGCCATGTTCCACAGAGTCTGGTATTCCGTGTTTGCGCCATCTCATACATACAAAACTCCAAAAACCCCAATCTTGAGACACCCAACACCACAGCCATCAACTCTCTCTCTCTCTCTCTCTCTCTCTCTCTCTCTCTCTCTCTCACTTTCCACTCCAACCGCCATCAATGGCCGTCGCCAACAACCTAACAGCAGTTCTCAACTTCATAGCCTTTCTCTGCTCCATACCCGTCATCGCCTCCGGCATCTGGCTAGCCTCCAAGCCCGACAATGAATGCATCAAGCTTATACGCTGGCCCCTCGTCTTGCTCGGTCTCCTCATCCTCCTCGTCTCTCTCGCTGGCTTTGTCGGTGCTTACTGGTACAAAGAGACTCTTCTCGCTTTCTACCTATGCTGCATGGCCATCCTCATCGGCCTCTTCCTTATCCTTCTCGTCTTCGCCTTCATCGTCACTCGACCCGACGGCAGCTACGATGTTCCCGGCAGAGGTTTCAAGGAGTACAGGCTCGATGGGTTCTCCGCCTGGTTGAGAGATCACGTGGTTAACTCAAAGAATTGGGAGAAGATCAGCGCCTGTCTTTCTGATACTCAAGTTTGCCCTAAGCTAACCCAGCAATATATCACTGTTGATCAGTTCTTCATGGCTCACATCTCTCCTCTTCAGGTTCTTCTTTTACTTCTTCAGCTTTACTATTTTTCTTCTCACCCAGAAGTTTTTGATGAACGTTTTCAGCATTCTTTATCCAATTAATTTTATTCTTATCTTGAATCTGCATCATAGATTAAATCAGCAAGAGTGGAGAATGGAAAAAGTTTGCAGAACATAGGCAGATGGATCTATCTAATTCACTGTAGAAGAAACTTTGATTTATTATTTTCCTAATTATAATTGTTGGTATAGACCATAAAAGTCTATGTGGATAGTGAACCAACCAACTCAATTATTATGAGAAATTATGCAACTTTTTGATTAAATTATTTTAAATGAATAACTTTTGTCTTTATTTCACAAGATAAAGAGTGAATTTTCTTATGCTTGACAGCTTTGGCGAGTGCCAAATACTTTAGTGGCATTACCAGTTCTTAATTGAAATCTTTAGATATGTATATATTATATTTGTGATGCAGTCAGGATGTTGCAAGCCTCCAACAGCTTGTGGGTATAATTATGTGAGCCCAACATTGTGGTTGAACCCGGTGAACCCGACGGCCGACCCGGACTGCTACTTGTGGAGCAATGATCAGAACCAGCTCTGCTACAACTGCAATTCTTGCAAGGCTGGTCTGTTGGGGAACCTGAGAAGAGAATGGAGGAAAGCTAATATAATTCTGATAGTGACAGTGGTGGTGCTTATATGGGTGTATATAATTGCATGCAGTGCTTTCAAGAATGCCCAAACAGAGGACCTTTTCCGCCGTTACAAACAGGGTTGGGTTTAATACTATTTTCCTTTCTTATCTGTACATATATATACGTAGTATATATTCCTTTATTCTGGTTTATCTACAGTCTGGTTTATCTTTTCAAATTCGTACTTTACTTTCACTTGCTATCTCTGAAAATGAGAATAGAATCTTCTTCTTTTTTTTTTTTTTTTTTCACTTACCAGTTTTTTTCAAAAGCATATGCTTTTATTTCTCTTCCTTCAATGCTTCGAAGTCCATGTAACGCGTTGAAAATAGTATAATAATGAAAGAATAAAAAAAGGAGACAAGGACCCAGTACCATAAAATGATTATACATGTTTCAAGATCCGAAATTGTCTCAAGATCTACAAATATGTATTTTTTTTTTTTATTTGGTACAACCAAAAATATTGACCCTGATTTCATTTTTCAAATAAATTGATAGGATCGCAACAAGAAGTCAGGTATATTCATATCATAGGCCAACAAGAACGAAGATTGAGAACTCATTACCGAAATAACAAGAAAAAGAAAGATAACTAAATACATCTTTGTCTCTCAAGCGGCAGATAGCTTTCTAGAGTAGACAATGTACATAGGATCTGAGCGTCCTGGGTTGGGAGATATATCTACAGCCTGCAAACAATGCTATCAGTTGATAAGGCTCCTGTTAAAAATAAATTGCTGCTCTGCATCATTCATCGTTCATTACTCGTCTTAGAAAAATGGACTCTGGGTGCCCATGAAAACAGATTCTTCCAGTCAATGACTCATTGAGCTATCTAAATGAGTCTTTAACTAATCGTGCATTGAGCTAAGTTAATAGAAAAAAGCATATCGAAAAATGACTGATTAAAATTGGTTCATACCTGAGGAGGTTCAAATCCTCCAGCATAATGAAAATATGATCCAACAATTAATGCATGATCAGCATCCCCAGTTGATGTCCATATGGAGATTGCTTTAGTCCAAAAGCAACGGTTGGAAAAGCTGATACAGAAACACACTCCTTGGAGTTACAGAACGTTCAGAAAGTAAAAGATGTGCAGAATTAAGAGGAACATAGGCTATCTTGGCCTCTGCTTTAGTGCAAGCTCGGTCTAAATTCTTTAGGGAAAGATTAATCAAGAATAAAGTGATATATGACCAAGATATTTTGCGATTAATAGGCTGCATATATTGCTAATAGTTCCAGATATTTTGCAATTAATACGCTGTATATATTGCTAAGAGTTCCAGATATTTTGCACTTAATAGGCTGCATATATTGCTAAGAGTTCCACAGAACATTAACTGAAGAAATCCTCGACTTTCTTCCCTTAGAAAATGATAACGTCTTAAGCTAATAAAGGAAAATGATAAAAGTAATAATGCTTGCTTTGTAAAGAATAATGATTTTGGAAAGGATAAATTATTTTCTATATCGGGTATACAGTGATATGGTATCAAATTCCACGAATAACATGGTAAAAATTCTAATCAATAAAATTATATTGGTCAATTCAGATTTCTACTTAGAATTAGAAATAGAATACAATATCAACGTTTAATTATTAAATAGAATAATTTTTTTTTTGGGAGGAAGATGGGAAATTCAAAATGTCCTCACCAGCATCCAACCTTTCCAATTATGAAGTGAGGCCACATGCCAATATTTTTCCTTTTTCCTATTACTACTTTCCATAAATTGGAAGGATGAAAGCTGTAATCAAACCTAGAGGTCAATGGTTGAAATATTTGTGCACTTCACAATTTTTTTATCACGATATATATTTACTTCTATTTCCTTCAAATCAAATCTTTGGATTTTCATGCCGTTAGATCGGATGAGTTACAGCTTCAAAAGAAGCTGAAATGATGAGCAAATTTAGAGAGAGAGTCGAGGAGAGAGAGAGGATAGCAAAAACAGGGTATAAGGCTACAAAAGCCTCTGTTTTTCAGATTGCAGAAAGATGATGATTTTTGGAGAGGAAAAAAAATAATTTTCATTGATTTGCACGATTACATTTATAAGTACAGAGTTGTGCTTGATTACAACCAAAAAATAAATGATAAGATTAAACTCAAAAATCCATGCATACACGCTGCATAGCAGCTACGTAGGCTGCAGTGAAACATTTTCTTCACAGCTTTATTTGAATTTGAATTTGAATAAGTAAATGGATAAAATCATTAAAATCAACACTCTTCCTTAATGATTTTATCACCAATTTCAATTTTTATTCGCAAGTCCTCGAACTTAGCCTTAGACAATGACTTTGTAAAGATGTCTGCAAGCTGCTCATCAGTTGAGCAGTGTAGAAGGCTAATTTCTTGGTTTTTTACAGCATCTCGAATGGCATGGAACTTGACTTTGATATGCTTGGTTCGTCCATGCATGACTGGGTTTTTGGTGATACCAATTGCAGACTTGTTATCTACCCGTATCACAGTTGGTCTGTGTAATGCATGCCACAAGTCTGCCATTACTGGCCTCAACCAGATGGCCTGATTTGAAGCCACAGCAGATGCAATGTATTCTACTTCAGCTGTTGATTGTGCAACTACCTCTTGCTTCTTTAAAGCTTATGAGAAAGCTCATGAGCCAAAAGAAAATACATAACCAAAAGTAATCTTTGCATCATCCATACAGCCAACCCAATCACTATCTGTATATTCTTGCAGCTCACCCACTTTGGCATCATACCATATTCTAAAATTACAGGTCCCCCGCAGGTATCTGATGTTTGGGAGCTGCCATAAATCTTGACAGAAGGCTCACTGCGTATAGCATGTCTGGCCTTGAGACAGTGAGATAGAGAAGACTACCAACCAAACTTCGATAGGTACCCTCATCAACCTCACTTATACCTTCATCCTTTGACAGCTTTAGGTTAGGCTTTAATAGAGTCCCTACAGCTTTACACCTCTCCATTTTAAATTTACTCAAGATTTTCCGAGCGTATTTGGACTGACTTAGGAAGATCCCTCCCTTTATTTGATTGATCTCCAGTCCAAGAAAATAAGCAACTCCCCTAGACTTGACATCTCAAATTGATCTTCTAACTGCTTCTTAAATCCATCTATCTCTGCTTCATTGCTTCCCATAACCAATATGTCATCCACATACACAGCAGTGAAAATCTTTAATTCTCCTTCAATTTTGGCGTACAATGTAGTTTCAGTTTTGCTTCTTATGAAGCCACACTATAGGAGATAATCATTCAATTTCTCATACCAGGCTCGAGGTGCCTGCTTCAATCCATATAAAGCCTTATGCAAGACATACACGTGATCTTCTTTTCCTGCAACTATAAATCTCTTCGGCTGCTCCACAAATATTTCTTCCTTCAGATCACCATTTAAGAAGGCAGCCTTGACATCCAAGTCCATTACTCGCCATTGAAACTGAGCTGCAAGTGCCAAAATGAGACGTATGACTTCATGTCTTGCTATTGGTGCGAACATTTCAGCAAAATCAACACCAGGTACTTGCGCAAAGCCCTTTACAACCAACCGGGCCTTATATTTGTTGATTTTACTTTCAGGATTTTGTTTTAACCTGAATACCCACTTCACTCTGATTGGTTTCTTGTTTGCAGGTCTTGGAACCAGGGTCCAGGTTCCATTGTTCTCAATTACACGCATTTCCTCTTCCATTGCTTGAACCCACTGAATTTGTTTTGTAGCTGCTTCAAAGGTTACAGGTTCATCCGCAGCAAGGCTACAGCGTTCATAAATATCAGCAAGGCTTTTCATTTTAGTTGGTCTTGTGTTTTCCTCATCAACTGTCACCATCTTCCTCTGTTGCATCAATTGAGGTAGATGTTAGAGTTGGACTAGGTTTGGTTGCAGCTTCAATAGTTAAACAATCTGTTTCTATCTTCTTTTTCTCCCAGTTCCAGTAGCTTGTTTCATCTACCAACACATCTCTTCGGATCATGAGCTTATTGGTTTTCAAGCTCAAAACCCAATATGCCTTTGCTTCTGCACTATAACCCATAAACAAACCCAACTCAGCCTTCTCGTCAAGCTTTGTTCTTCTGTCATCTGAGACATGACAGTAGCAAATCGACACAAACACTTTTAGATGCTGAGTTGACAGTTTGATGCCGCTCCAGGCCTCCACGGGTGTCATTCCTTCCACTGCCTTCGTGGGCAGCATGTTGAGCAGAAACACAGCAGTGTTTACTGCCTTAGCCCAAAGCACTTTTGGTAAATGCTTGTCAGCAAGCATGCTTCTTGCCATTTCCATGATGGTTCTGTTCTTCCTCTTCGAGACACCATTCTGGTGTGGAGAATATGGTGTTGTGAGCTGTCGTTTGATCCCATTTTTGGAGCAAAAATCCTTGAATTCACCGGAATTGAACTCAAGTTCGTTGTCTGTTCTTAGGCACTTCAACACACAGCCACATTCCTTCTCTGCCATGGCTTTAAATCTCTTGAATTCATCAAATATCTGAGCTTTGTTCTGCAAAAAGCACACCCAAGTTATCTTAGTGAAATCATCAATAAATAAACCAAAATACTTGTTTCTATTTATTGAATTTTCACTCATCGGACCACATATGTCCGAGTGAATTAGTGCAAGCTTTTGATCTGCCCTCCAATCTGTCTGAGTAAGGAATGCCTGTCGAGCCATTTTTCCCAACTGACAAACACCACAAGGCTTCTCGGTAGCTCCTATGTTTGGAAGATCCTTGGTTAGGTCTCCCTTCTGCAACTGAAGTAACCTAGCAGCATGATAATGGCCAAAACGTCTATGCCACAGCTTCCCTTTAGGCATTGTGACAACGTTTGCCTTTTCAACTATTTCTTTGAGCTTCAAGGAGTACGCCTGGTTCCTTTTTGGAATGAGAGCAATCAATTTGCCTTCGGGATCATGGATTCTACAGTATTGGTTCTTAAATGAAACTGAGTATCCATGATTAGTCATTTGATATACACTAAGCAGATTTTGAGAGAGTGGGAATGAAATTCACATCGGTGATAAGTTTTCTACCTTCCCTAATTTCTATAGCAACATTACCTTTGCTTTTTATGGATTCCAGCATACCATTTCCAAGTCTCACTTGGCCTGTTGCTGATTTGTCAAGCGTCATGAACATGGCTTCATTCTTGCACATGTGAGAAATGCATCTACTATCAACGACCCAGAAGCTATCATCTTCCACTGTCAATTCACTTGAAGCAACGAGGATTGCATTACGTTGCTCGCTGAATACCTCAGTGACATTCACATGCTGCAGCTCCTGCTTAAATTGTGTTGCTTCCTGCTTTTGTTTTTGCCTACAGAACTTTTTCTTGTGGTCAAGTCTTTTGCAGAAATTGCACCGGACAGCTTTCTTGCCCTTGTACTAGAATTCACTCTTAGGAAGATTTGTGAGGGAGCAGATGTTGCAAGGAGGATACTTCTTCTGCTTACTGGAATTTTGGTTTCCAGTTTGATTTCTTCCATTCCTTTTGCCTTGATTCTGATTTGAGGGGGTAGCTTTGGTTTGAGACGAGAATAAGGCTCCCTCAGTAGGTACACGAGCATGCATGTTCACCCGTTGCTCCTGTGATTGCAGCTTATTGATTAGTTCAGCTGAAGAGATCGTATCAATGTCTGCAAGTTCCTCCAAGACTGAGATTTTAGATTCAAATTTAGGGGGTAAGCTTATAAGAATGTTGCTCTACCACCCTTGATTCAAGAAAGTCCTCCCCCAACAATCTCATTTTATTCACAATATCCAAGAGTTTGGAGGCATAGTTACTAACAGACTCATTTTCTTGCATTATGAGTAATGCAAACTCGCTTTTCAGCCTCAGTAGTTTGATCTTCCTACTTCTGTCTCCTCCATCAAACTCTTCCTTCAGTTTCTCCCACGCTTCCTTGGGGTGATTCATAGTTCATAATCCTAGAGAAAGACCCTGTCCGAAATAGTCCGAGAAGAGGCAGGCAAGTGCTTTTGGTTTCTTGGGCCTTCTCTTCCTCGTGTTTTTTAATCTGGATCAAAGTGACAATGTCTCGTAGTGGGGTTGGGGTCACTTTCATCTATGATAACATCCCACAACCTAGAGCTTTGATGTGAGCTCGCATCTTTATTGCCCACACGATGATAATTTTCTCTG